CGGGAGCCCCAGAGTGGCCGCTGCCGGGGTGCAGCCCAGCCGAGGAAGGGGCCGAGCCGCGCTCTGCAGGGGCCCCCCTCGGCCCTCTGTCCGTCCGCAGGGGGGCACTTGCCTGACCGGCTTGGCACCCTGGCTGCTCCCTGCCCGCGGTGGCCTCACCCTTTCCTGGCCGGGGCGGTTCGGGAAGTAGGACACCTTGCTGCGTGCCGGGGACCTGGGGGCCGTTTTGGGAGGCGGTGGTGGCCGCAGCGGGGATGAGGGGACCCTGGGGGAGGCCGGGAAGTCTGGAGGCGAGCGGCGTCAGGTAGGACGCTGTCAACAGGTGGCTCGCTCACTCGGCCACCCTATCCTCGCAGCCCGGCCTCCGCCTGGAGCTCCAGCTCCACCCCGCATGCACTGTACCCGGGCCCCTCCCGATCCCTGAGCCCCCACAGAATGGCAGATGGCGGCAGCCCTTTCCTGGGCCGGAGAGACTTTGCCTACCCATCTCCTACTAGAGGTAAGGACAGCCTTCTCTGTCTCACCCAGGTGCCCACCTGCTGTCTCTTCTGCTGCCCCCATCCCCCAGAGGTGGAGGTGGGGGTCACAGAGCCCCTGCCTTTCCTGGTGTCTATAATGAGTGAGTGAGTGAGTGAGTGAGTGAGTGAGTGAGTGAGTGAGTGAGTGAGTGAGTGAGTAGGGGGCAGATCCCAGCCCAGTCTCCCCCACCCCCCTCAGAAGTGGCTTTCTCTAGCTGAGTTCCTGCTTTTCCACAGACTCTAGTGCCTCTGAGCCAGGGGGAAGCCCAGTCAGGAAGGAGGAGAAGAAGGTAAGGGAGGGGCTTGGGGAGGGCCCTCAGCGATGGCTGCTCCTGCCTTGCCCTCTGTCTGAGGAGGTAACCCCCACCCCCATCCCATCCTCTCCCCCTGGCCAGATGAAAGCTGCCCGACTCAAGTTTGACTTCCAGGCCCAGTCCCCCAAGTAAGTGCCCCCTCTCACCTTACCTCTTCCACCTAGGCCTGGGAGTCTCCACAGGCTCAGAGCCCTGCACAGTGGGGGCCAGGGCTACGTGGAAGTCCTCAGGGCAGTGGAGGGGCTCCGGGGTGTCCCAGATGGGGTCTGAAGGGAAGGGGGATCTGGAGACCTCTTGACCCTGCTGTCTTGCTCTGGTTTGCAGGGAGCTAACACTACAGAAAGGTGACATTGTCTATATCCACAAGGAGGTGGACAAGAACTGGCTGGAGGGGGAACACCATGGCCGAGTGGGCATTTTCCCTGCTAACTATGTCGAGGTGAGCAGGGCAGGGGAGGGGCAGAGGGGGAGGGCGAATGGTTATAAGAGGCTTAGAGTACTACAAACCCCTTTATCCTGGGCCCCTTGCTGGAGTTGACCCACACCTCACTTCTCACCATGTCCTGAGATGTAGAACTGTGCACGCACGGAGCAGACACCGCATCTCCTTCATGCCCCTGACCCCAGCAGGCCTGGCCCGGAGCTTTGCCTGCTGAAAATGTGGGGAGAAGGAGGCTAAAGGTGGCCTTCAGCCAGCCTTCGGGCCACAGACCACCTGACCCACAGTCGGTGGCCCCCACTTCCAGCACTCAGATCCATCTCCCAGGAGCTGCCCCACCCCCCACCCCAGAATAATTGTCACTGCAGTGCCAGAGTGTCGATTGCTGGACACTTCACAAATCACACAGCCAGTTGCTATGGGGTCAGCTAGACTTAGGTCAGCCCCAGGTGTGTCCGGATCCAACGGTACTCCAGCAGGTTCTTGGGGCTCATTTCTCACAAGTAGATCCTGGACCTTTCTTCCAACGTGCTGCTGGGTGTTTGTATCAGGTAGGGACAAGTCACCTACATCAACCTGCAAAATCCTGTGGGGTCACCTCCTATGTTCCTCCCACTAACCTGGGGATTGGTTAGGTAGCGTTCCCACTGTGTACATGAGGTCTTATGTTCAGAGACAAGTTATAAAGTAGATCCGGAAGTCTGAATTCAGGTCATTCTCCTCCCAAAACCGGGTCCCAGGCCTGGGGGCCTGTTTAGGCTTTTTTTTGGCAATATGTGTCTTTCAAGGAATTTCAAGTTTGTAAATTTATTTAGTAATATTCCTTCAGTATTCTTTTAAATGTTGATAAAGTATACTAAGATTCTAACTTTCATTTGTAATATTGGTAAGTCTTACCAATAACTTAGTGATTTTACTTGTACTCCCTGCCCCCAAAGAACCGGGTTTTGATTTCATTGACTTTCCCTATTTTTAATTTCTTTTTTAAAAAATAATTTTATTGGGGGCTTATACAACTCTTATCACATACATACATCAATTGTGTCAAGCACATTTGTACATTCATTGCCCTCATCATTCTCAAAACATTTGCTCTCCACTTAAACCCTTGGCATCAACTCCTCATTTTCCCCCCTCCCTCCCCACTCCCTCTTCCTTCATGAACCCTTGATAATTTATAAATATTATTATTTTGTCATATCTTACACTCTCTGATGTCTCCCTTCACCCACTTTACTTTTGTCCATCCCCCAGGGAGGAGGTTATATGTAGATCCCTGTAATCGGTTCCCCCTTTCTACCCCACCCTCCCTCCACCGTCCCAGTATCGCCACTCTCACCACTGGTCCTGAGGGGTTCATCTGTCCTGGATTCCCTGTGTTTCCAGTTCCTATCTGTACTAATGCACATCCTCTGGTTTAGCCGGATTTGTAAGGCAGAATTGGGATCATGATAGTAAGGGTCTGGGGGAAGCATTTAGGAACTAGAGGAAAGTTATGTTTCATCGTTGCTACACTGCACCCTGACTGACTTGTCTCCTTCCTGAGACCCTTCCGTAAGAGGATGTCCAGTTGTCTACTGATGGGCTTTGGGTCCCCACTCTGTACTCCCCCTCATTCATAATTTGATTTTTTGTTCTTTGATGACTGATACTTATCCCTTCGACACCAGGCCTGTGTGCTTCTTCCATGTGGGCTTTGTTGCTTCTGAGCTAGATGGCCGCTTGTTTACCTTCAAGCCTTTAAGACCCCAGATGCTCTATCTTTTGATAGCCGGGCACCATCAGCTTTCTTCGCCACATTTGCTTATGCACCCATTTGTCTTCAGTGATTGTATCAGGGAGGTGAGCACACAATGATATGATTTTTTCTTCTTTGATGCGTGATAACTGATCCCTTCGGCACCTCGTGATCATACAGGCTGGTGTGCTTCTTCCATGTGCTATTGTTTTTAATTTCATTGATTTATGTTCTTTGTTATTTTCTTCTTGCTGCTTGCTTTAGACTTAATTGGCTTTTCTTATCCTAGTTCCTTAAGGTTTTTAGATTATTAATTTGAAACTTTCACTTTTATCTTAACATAAACATTTCATAAACTAAGATTTCCTCTGTGTCCTGCTTTTAGCTGTATCCCAAATTTTGATACGCTGCATTTTCATTCCATTCACAATGTTCTCTAATTTTTGTGACTTGCTCTTAGGCCTGTGGGTTGAGTCGCGGGTTTATGATTTGAAAGATAATAGCAGTAGGCCTCCCCCAACCTCTGAACCATCTCTTTGATCTTGAAATTCCACAAGGTATAGATAGCTAGCACTCTACTTTACCGGTTATTGACATCTTAGTATGCCATATCTACTGACTCCGGATTCTTGTGAGTGAGTGAGTGGAGGACTCATGAGTGTGCTGGGCACCTGGGGGAGTAGGGGCGGGGGAAGAGGTTGGTTTTCGGCAGCGATCAAATGTTAACTTCTTCGCTTTAGAACAGGTTACCAGATGCTACTTGGGACTCCTCATTGTCTGTTGTGCACCAACTTAAACTCTCTAGCTGAACTCTACTCCTCATTGTCTGTTGTGCACCAACTTAAACTCTCTAGCTGAACTCTTGCTTCCACTTTCCAATCTGCCCTGGCTATTCCCCACTCCATTGGTGCCCTGTCCAAAACCTCTCTGCCATCAAGTTGGATGCCAACTCATAGAGGCCCTAAAGGGCAGAACAGAATGGCCCCGTGAGTTTCTGAAACTGTAACTGTTTACAGGATTTGAAAGCCTTGTTTTCTTCCCCCAGAGCTGCTAGTGGTTTCGAACTGCTGACTTAGCGGTTATCAGCCCAATGTGCAACCACCATGCCACCTGAGCTCCTCCCTGCCCACATGCATCTGCTGGAAATGCTTTCTCTGGGCATCCCCCCTCAGCTGTGCACACCCTGGCCACCTCCAGGGTTTGTGTGTTTCTGGTGTCGCTGCCCTTCAGCTCTTGCACCTGCCACCTCCTCTCTTCTCCTCTCCTCTGCTCAGATTCTCCGTTTTTGTGACCTCCTCCTCCTCCTCCTCCCAGGACCCCCAGGCTTCCCCCTAGCTGTTGCTCAGGTCGAGGGGCTGCCTGACTTCTGCCCTTTCTTCCTCCAGGTGTTGCCCCCAGATGAGATCCCCAAGCCCATCAAGCAGCCAACCTTTCAGGTGCTGGAATATGGAGAAGGCCAGGCACAGTACAACTTTAAGGGGGACCTGGATGTGGAGCTGTCCTTCCGCAAGGTGGGCTGCGCCAGGAGGAAGTGGTGGGACCAGGCGGAGGAGGGAGGATACAGGGAAATGTGTGCCTTAAAGGCGTTTATGGAAGAGTCCAGTGTACTGTCGTTTTCATATTTTCCCCCATCTCTTCAAATATTTTCCCTTCACTTAGCTCCTTTGGAAAGGTTTTCAGAGATCTGCAGAGTGGTGTTTTCCAGCTGTGGGTCGGTAGTGGTGAGGCTCTAGGAAAGGACAGACCAGGTATGCTAGAGGGCTGCCCTTGCCAATCGGTGTACACGCCGAGGGCTGTCAAACTCACGGCCGTTGCGTTGATTCCAACTCGCCTCATAGCGGCCTATAGGACCAAGCAGCACTGCCCTTGAGGGTTTCTGAGTCTGTCAATCTTTACGGGAGTAGAAAAGAGCATCTTTCTCCCGCAGAGCGGCTGGTGGTTCCAAACTGTCGACCTTGTGGTAGCAGCCCAACATGTAACCTGCTAAACCACCTTAGAAATATGCACAGGGTTACTTTAAAAATGTGTGTGTGTGTGTATATATAAATATGCACAGGGTTACTTTAAAAATGTGTGTGTGCGTGTGTATATATATATATGTATATAGTTATGGAGTGTGCTTTAAAACGTGTGGACAGTGTCTTAGAAAACAGGCAGCCAGTCTCCTTTTGTTTGAGGCTGAGGTCCTGAACGTCCCTCCCGAGTGCTACCTGGGAGAGTCGTGTTGACCTCAGGGAGAGAGGGTTGGGGCGGCAGGGATTGGTGGAGGCAGGACAGCCCAGTTGAGGTAGTGAAGATTCTGCCACTGATGTGGCATGTGGGCTGAAGGACCCAGGAAGTGCCATCGCCGGTGGCAGGGCCCTCTTGCGTGTGGGGCAGGGGCAGGACACTGCCAGGGCAGCAAGGGCTGACCCCTGTCCGGTGCTTCTGATGTGCCCACTTGTGATCCTGTTTGCTCCTTGCAGCACTAATATTGGTAGTCCGTCTTTACATGGAAAGGGGCGCCTGGGGCCACAAATGGTTTGTGCCTGGAGGTTGGTGGCTTGAATCTATCCGACGGCACAGTGGAAGAAAGGTCTGGCAACTGACTTCTCTAAAATTAAAGACAGCAGCAAAGGCTCCGTGCCATCGAGTCGATGCCCGATTCACAGTGATCCTACAGGTCAGGGGAGAACGGCTCCTGTAGGTTTCCGACACTGTAATTCGTTACAGGAGTAGAAAGCCTTCATCTCTCCCCACACTTGGAGTTGCTGGTGGCTTTGAACAGCTGACCTTTGCGTTAGGAACTCAACACGTTACCCACTATGTCAAAAACCCAAAGGAGAGCCGTTCTCTGAAACAAGTGGTGTTATCAGGACCCAGAGTCACTTGAATGGCATGGGGCCGGTTGGTTGGTTTTAATGTTGGACTGTGAGCTGGGTGGAGGATCCCACTGTCAGTTCCACAGTTGCACATCTCTAGTTTCATGCCGTTGGCTACAGTCTCCACAATGTAGCGTCTCTCGGCCCCCTCCCTGGGGGTCCTCGTTCTAGTCCTCCTTGTCCCTAGGAAATGCTGCGTTTGTCATATCAAAAGGGTGCTGTTTCTGAGGACTCTGGGCCTTCACAGTGTTGTCATTGCACCTTACAGACCTGTCCATTGACTGGCTGAAACTTGAGCCAGGGGACATTGTCTCGGGGGCTCCCCCAGGCTGTATCGGACCAGTAAGTCGGTCTCTTTTCCGATTTTGAGTTTTGTACCACATTGTCCTCCCACTTTATCCAGGTGATCCCTTTCAGAGCAGCCAGCAATAGTACCACAGCAGTAGGTTCTTAAGGTGTGTGTGTGTGGAGGGGCGGGGGAGTGGAATCCAGGTGCAGAGAAGAAAAGAAATTGGCCCAAGGTCACACAGCGGAACTGGGACTAGAGTGGAGCTGTTCAGTGGCAGGCACCCCTGTGCTAGAGCTCAGGGGAGGGGGGTGCATGCAGGTGGCTGCCCAGGAGAGGCAGGACTTGGCCAAAACCCAGTGTGTTATGGGAAGAGCCCAGGGCAGCCTGGGCTTGCCTCCTGACTTCCTCACTTCCTCACTCATTTGTGACCATGGACACCCTCATCCCTGCAGGTGTTGGACTTATGGGAGACAACCCAGGTCAGGTACTGTCAGGGTGCTTGATGACCGGGAAGCTCTGCAGCCGGTAGTAACTCCTTCCTCTCCACCATTTTCAGGGGGAGCGAATCTGCTTGATCCGCAAGGTGAATGAGAACTGGTATGAAGGACGCATCTCGGGCACGGGCCGCCAGGGCATCTTCCCAGCCAGCTACATCCATGTGAGCCGAGAGCCCCGCGTCCGCATCTGCGACGACAGCCCCCAGCTGCCTGGGTCCCCCCGCCTGACCACCACTGCCCGCCTGGCCCGGAACCCCAGCTCCCCCTCCACCCCGCGCAGACCAGCCAATCCCTCTGACTGGGGGGGCCCGGCCTCCCCCCACCGCACTGGCTTCTCTTTCACCCAGGAGCCAAGATCTCAGGCCCAGGTAAGGTCGTCTGCCTCCATGTGGGGCTCTGAATCCCTCCTCTAGTGAAACAGCCCCCTTCCTGGCCCCCTCTGGCCGGTCAACTCCAGAGACACAGGGTAGAGCAATTAAAGAGGACCTGACACCGGTGCTGGTTCTGGCCCCTGAGCTCCAGCTCAGGGAGGGTCGGGGCCAGCCCAGACCATGAGGTCCTGTAGGTACCACCCTGTCCTGCTTGAACTGCTGGTGCCTGGAGTCAGGGCCTGCTGCTCTGGGCTCTGGGACCCCCAGGGTCTTCCCTATGCACTGGAGATTAGAGCTGAAGTCCCGCCAGCCCCCAGGCCTTTTGCTCACACTGTCACTCCCTCAGCTAGCCTCTTACACACACACACACACACACACACACACACACACACACACGCCGAGGCCATCGGGCCTGGGGGATCTGGCACTCTGTAGGTCCCCAGAACCAGGGACAGCCAGGCTGACTTTTAGCGAGCCGGTCACCTAACTGCCTGTGCCTCGATGTCCCAGTGGTGTGAACTAGCCAAACCTGACCCTCCCTGTCCCCAGCATTTATAAGGATTAGACAAGGTCGTATATAAGAAATGCTTCCTGCGGGGCTGCTGGGGACAGTTCTGCCCTCCTCCTCCTCTGATGCTTCTCCTTCTGTGAACCCAGAGTCTCAGCACCCCCACATCAGCTCTGCCCCACCCGAAAAGTGCCAGCCATCCCTTGGACCTAGGGGACATCCCCTTCAGTGCCACTCAAATACACTGGACGCCGTGAGTACCATCTGAGGGCACATGGGGTGGGGGTGCCTGGCAAGCAACATACTGCCCCCAAACACAAACACTCACTCCTGAGTGTACTAGGTAAACTCCCACTACACAGAGTTTGTCCTTGTGCAGTGTACGGGTGATTTAGGGACAGGTGGGAGTACTGACCTGTGGTGTTCCTGGCCCGCCCTGGCCCTACCAGCCTCACTCCAGCCTTCCACCCCGCCCGGACCCTGTTTGGCCTCTTCACTGGCTCCCAGTCCTGAGGTCAGCGCCTGCGTAGACCTAGGCTGAGAATCAGTGGAACAGACTTGAGGGTGCAGAGGAGGACAGGGAGCGGGCCTGCAGAAGTCCGGCCTGCAGTGTGGCCATTCTCCGGGATACAGAGGGGCCCTGAAGGTTCAGAGGGGACTCAGAGCACCAGCACTTGAGTTGCGAGTCTCTGGGGCTGGTCTGGGGGAGGTTGCCATGACAATGTCTCCCTCAGGTACCGGGCTATGTACCACTACCGGCCCCAGAATGAAGACGAGCTGGAGCTCCAGAAGGGGGACCGGGTGGACGTCATGCAGCAGTGTGATGATGGCTGGTTCGTGGGTGCGTACGCCTGGGGCGGAGGCGGGGAGCAGGCTGGGAGACGGACTTCAGGGTCCCTGGGGAGTTTGGTGGCCTCCGGCAGCTGCTGCCACCCACCTGTGTGGTTCAACAAAGACTCATGGCCTAGCCCCCACCCCCCAGCTTCTGGCCTGGCTACTGGAAAGGCCTGGCTGTGAAGGCTTCCCCAAGCCATCCCTGTGGACCTCTGCCCTGAAGAGGGCCGAGGCCTGGGTGGGGCAGGCACCCTTCAGCATTACTGCTGGGGTCACTGGGGACTTGGATCAGGATTTCTGACCCCCAGCCTGCCCTGCTCACCACAAGCCTCTGCCTGCTCAGAGCAGTCTGTGGGGAAGGGAGGGGTCCTGTCTGCTGTTCCCACTCAGCTCCTGCTGCATGGGCCCAGGTCTGCACCTGTGCGTCCCCTTCCTCCCCATGCCCCTCTCCGGTCCTAGGAGAGGAGTTGGCCCAGGTGCAGTGCAGGCAAAGGACTTTGGCACAGTGCAAGGGGCCCACCTACTGGGTTTCACAGGCTCCGTATCCCCTTACCTGGCCAGACCTTAGTGGACCCCAAGGATCTGAGCAGCCAAAGCTCCTGGGCGGGTTTGCCACAGTACAGACTCTCAACTAAGCCATCACCCCTTCCTGCTAGAGATCCCCAAACCACCACACCTGTGACCCAGCTTCCACACACAGGCTGGGTGGGGTTCCCTAAGCACTGACCTGTTGTTCATAGCCCTGACCTCTGGGCGGCACTGGGATTAGCCTGCACTCCATTGGTTCTGTCTATACCTCTGCTTTTGCATTTTCCACAAGTAGCAAAGCACGTTGTGGTATAAGTGATGTGCAGCTGCCCATATTTAAGTGAATGAAAACGTCATGTTCAGTTTCTCGGCCTCACTAGCACATTCCAAGTGCCCAGTAGCCACCTGTGGCTGGTGGCTGTCATGTTGGACAGTTCAGGGTCCCATCAGTGTGGGCTGGTCAGGGAGGGAATCCCTGGAAAAGGTGGAGCAACTGGACCTTGCAGAGGCAAGGAGAAGATCTGGAGAGGCAGGGTGGGAAAGAGGGGCACCACATCCCCAAGGCCCGGAGTGAACATGGTCTTTCATAGCCACGCCACACAGCAGCTGCCTTACTTCGTGAGAGCAGCGAGAACAGAAGCACCACACATGGAGATTTCATGAACGGAAACACATTGCCTCTCAAAATGCAGGAGGCCAGAAGTCTGAAGTCAGGGAAGGCTTTCTCCCGCTGGCTCCGGGGAAAGGTCGTGGCTCTTTTCTCCTTCGAGCTTCGGGGTCTCTGTTCCTGGGTGGCCCTCAGGTGGCTTGGCATCTGGCTTCCCCACTTCTGGGCCTAACCTGCCCTTTGATATCTCCGAAGCCATTGGTTTGAGACACAGGATACACTGGCAGGGGTGGTGGTGGTGCTTGTTAACAAAGAAAACCCTATTCCCTAAGGGAGTTATAACCTCCACAGGCCTCAGGGTTCGGATTTATAACTGATACTTGGTTGGGGGTTGGGTAGGGCAAAGGTTAAACCATCACACCAGCCTCCCGCAGGAGAGAGCTTCTCGCTCATTGCCACTGAGTCTCTGAGAAAAGCCTCCTCTTGATGGCAATTTCAAACCAGTGACCTTGCAGTTGGCAGCCTCATGCATAACAACTGCATTACAGGGCCCTGATGTGAAAAGCTAAGGAACATCAATATACTCCCTCCACCTCCCCCCACAAAACCAACCCAACCCACTGCCATCGAGTGGATGATGGCCACTCAGAGCCGCCCTCAAGGGCAGGGCAGAACCCGCCCCTGTGAGCTTCCAAGGCTGTAACTCTTTACTGGAGTTGAAAGCCCCGTCTTGCCCCCTTGGAACAGCTAGCTGGTGGTTTCAAACTGTTGACCTTGTAACCACGACACTGCCAAGGCTCCCAGTTAGGACTTTTAGTTCATTTCACATCCCGTGACCCCCTAGCATGTCCTCTTTCCACTCCATGCTCAGGGATTTTGGAGGCTGGACCCAGCAGGAGGCTGAGGCCTGGATTTTAATCCCGAGACTGCCATCTCCCTGATTCTTCACAAGGCGGATCTGTAAGATGAGCATGCTTTAGCAGACAGTGAGGCCCAGCGGGGCCCTGGTCAGGTCTAGATTTAAAAGCTTGTCTCGCTGCTTCTTCCCCAGGAAGGATGGAGTTAGTCAGAGCTGTGTGCAAACTTGTGCTCATCTGTTGCTTGCTGAGATGGCTTTTTGATTAAAGGGAATTTTGAGTTCAGGAAGTGGAGCTCTGCCCAGCTTAGCTTCTGCCACTAGAGGGCAGGAATAAGGACAGCACCCGCCCTGCTGCTCCTCTGTGGGAAAGGCGTTCTACCTGCAGTTTCCCACAGGCTCAGCAGGGGACCACAGGACCTTGACCCTCTGATTCCTTTTTTCTTCTTTTTTTAAGAGGAGGAGAAATGCACTTTGTGTCTTTCCTGTTTCAGGTGTCTCCCGGAGGACCCAGAAATTTGGGACATTCCCTGGAAATTACGTAGCCCCGGTGTGAATGGTCTTCATGGCAACTGGGGGCCCAGCAAGCTGGGCCTGGAAGCAGTAGCACTTAGGGGAGGGAGAGAGGACCTCCCCTACATCCTCCCCGCCCTGGGCAGCTGCAGACAACCCCAGAAGCTTTCCCCTCAGAGCTCCCTCGGAGCCTCCTGGACTGGCCCCCACCCCAGCTCACAGGCATTCCTCTGAGGGCCCTTTCATCTCCCCCCTGCCCACCCGCCTGCCTGCCAGCTTCCTAAATACAGAGGTCTGCTTTGAAGTGGAGACTTTTTCCAGGCCTTATTGAGACCAGACCCCCCTCTCCCAGCCCTCCTGCACCAACCCCCACTCGCCATGGAGTTTCCTCTAACAGGGACTGGTTCCCAGCTTCACCCCCATGGGGTTCCTCTAACCAGGACCAGCTTCCTAACCTAATAGAGACCAAACGGTCCGCCCCCAAGGCCGCCTTCCTGGAGGGAGTTCACTCCAGTTCCCGGCTGGCTGCCCCTTTGCCTGCCTCCTTCCTGCGAACCAGGTGAGGCATGGGGTGGACAGACTGACCAATGGACTGCAGCAGCCTGTAGGCCCTACCTGAGGATCCCTCTTCCTGGCCTGCGATCTGATTCTTGTGTCTGCACCCCAACCTGCTGTGCTGTGGACCCCTCCTGTTTCCCAACCCCTATCCCTCTTCCCCCCACCCACCAGTCCCAGCCCCAGCCCCAGCCCCAAGCTCCCTCAGGAGCTTGTAAATAAATAAACCCGAGGCCAGGTTCATGCCTCTGAGTCCCTTCCTTTCCTTTGGAGCCGGACAGGCCTCTGCAGCCTGGAGTTGGGGACCTTCTTCCCACAGTGGACTGCTGGCAAACCGGGCACAGGTGTGGGGTCTGGGGAGCTGGGAGAGGGAGAAAGCACCATTATTATGTGAAGGTTCCCCCACTCAGGCCCCAGCAGGATCAGGCAGCCCCAAGGCCCAACAAGCTGTGCTGAGCAAGCGCGTCTCCGGACCGAGGCCAGGCCCCACTGGGGAGGAACCAGAGCCACAGCTCCATGTGGCCTTGTTTGCAGGCGATTTTGAAGCTGGAGCTGCCGAGGGCTTGTAACTGTTGAGCTCTAATGTTTTCCTGCTGTGTGTTGTATTTCCTCACCGAAGCGCTCTTGTGTGCTGGCTGTTGGATTTTTTGTTTTGTTTTGTTTCTACTTTGGGCTTGAGCTTTTGAGCAATCGATTGTGGGAAGCTGGGAGTGGTAGGTCAGGGCTAGCCAAGGCGACTCTTCTTGCCCAGGGTTTTCTGTGTTCCTGGGCTTGGTAGTTCCTGTGAGGGGGTTTGGACTGGGGGTGGTCACAGTCAGGCCCTGGCTGCACTGCCAGTCCTCAGCTGCTGTTGCTGTGAGTCAAGTCGGCGGAAGGTTGTCTGTGTTGTCTAGTAGTGCGAGCGTGGTGGGCAGGTTCTCTGATCGCCTTTTGCTGAAGGAGGAATCCAGGTACTGAGAAATGAGGCTGTCTAGGTCTGATACATAGGGAGCTCTGCTGGTACAGTAGGTTTAGTAGCATTGGGCTGCTAACTGTAAGGTTGGCAGTTCAAACCCACCAGTCGCTTCTTGAGAGGACGAGGAGGCTGGCTAGTCCTAAAGATTTCCAGCCTCCGATACCCTATGGAACAGTTCTGCTCTGTCCTACCAGTGGGCTCTCTGAGTGATTGAGAGGTGTGGAGCTCATACTTATTAAATGGTGAAATCGGGATCTGACACCTACCATGTGTCCCTGCCATCCTTGTGAGGAGGGCCCTGGAGAAGGAAGGGTTTGAGGTCAGGGATTATGCTGGGCAAGTTCAGGGTGAGGTTCTTATAGTTCTTCCTGAAAACCTTGTCTTCCCAGCCTGTCACTGAAGGTGCCCCCCACCCCAGGTGGGTGGAAAGAATGGTGGTGCCTGGGGTGGGTCCACACCAGCCAGGTCCACCCTGGACAGGTGGGTGGGGCCCGGGAAGACAGGGCAGTGTCCTGGCCTTGGCAGGCCCCCTGAGTCTGGGTGTGGCCAGGGAGCCCTGTGGAGTGGTTACACCGTAGCTTGGTGAGCAAGGCCTGTGTGCAGGGCTGTCCTTCATCCTGTCTACCTACCGTAGGCCTCAGTGTAGGCTGGCTCTCTCTCAGCAGGTCCAACCCTTCCCAGATGGAAAGAACCCTGCCTCAGGACCCTGAGGAGCCGGCTACCATCCCCTGTCAGCTCACTTCAAAGATAAAAGACAGTGTTCCTCAGGGAGTGCTGGAACTTTCCCAAGGGTCTGCAAAAGCAGATACCTACACTTTATCCTGGATGATGGGCTAGAGTACAAATGGTTTTCATTGCCGGGGGGTGCTCGGAATTTTTTTCCTTCTGAAAATGGGGCAGGATGCCAAAGAAGTGTGGGAGCCTATGATCCAAGGTTGAGAATCCCTTTTCCTGGGGCAAAACGCAAATGCACACTCTCTCTTTGATGGGGCCCTGCAACCCCCACTGCTACAAACCCTACTCCGAGTGCCACCACGCCCTGCCTCTAAGATGATCATGTGTGTGACTTGACCTGGCATGAGGGCATGGGGAGGGAGGATCAGAGGCTTGAGAGATGGAAAGGAGTCATGGGCACCTGGCTTCCTGACTCCTCTGCCCAAGGAACCAGCAAGGCAAAGAGCCCTTTGGCCTCTGGGAAAGGCTGAGCCAGCCACTACAGAAACAGTCAGTGTCTAGCCCAGGCCCACAGCACTGCTTGGAGCAGGCCTAGGATGGTGCTCTGTCTTTGGGGTGTGAGCTAGTTTATTGTGCCAACCTGGCTGATAGATAAACACACGTGGGGTTAATTGAAGGGCGGAGGGATAAATGGCTCAGTGAGCCTCACCTTTCTAGTTCTCCGGTCTTTTGCTTTGTGATGATCAGACCAAGGTGCAGCTGCCTTAACCAGTTCCATGCTTCAACTGACAAAGCTCACTCCCTGCAAGACATCCCAGAGGAGAAGCCGCGTGGACCTACCCCGATGCAGCCCTGGGTGCTGGAGCAGCTGTGTGGAGACCTATGTCAGCGCTGAGCTGCTTACACATTCCCTGACTCGGCTTTCCTCCTGCAGTTGGCGTCATAGTGTGTGTTTTGTGAGATGGAGGAGGACTTTGTGGATTGGTGTCGGACATACGGGCTAATGTTGGACTTGTGGGCTTGGGCAGCACTGGGTCGGGATGTTTTCTTGATGTGCACTTACCTTTTATATGAAACTTTCCCTTATACATGAGTTTCTGTGGATTTGTTTCTCTAAAGTACCCAGACTAACACAGGGTGGGTTTCAGGAGTGCACCATCTGCCCAACAGCAAACCTGACAGACATGGTGTTCCCTGAGCCTGTCTAAGGCAAAGTCTAAAACAGCGTCTGAGGGAGAGGAGAGGGAAGAAGGAAATCTCTCCTTCTCATGATTCAAATCACAGGCATCCCACAAGTATGCAGTGCATTCCCACGGTGTGCCTGGCACTGTTCTAAGCTCTAGGGATGGAGCCATGAGCCCAACAAAATCCCTGCCTGCAGAGGAAACCCCCAGGGTGGCACCAGCTTTATGGGAGGGAAATCCCTCTTCACACAAAGGGACAAGACACGGAGCCCCTGAAGAACTAAGGAAATCGCCCCCAAGATTGCACAGCCAGGAAATCTGAGGCTGATCTTGCTTTTGCGGTGAGTTCTATGTGACCTGGAGGCCCGAAGGTTTTCTGCTCCTTCGGAAGCTTCTGGTCTAGTTGGGAGGTAGGGTGGAGGTGGAACAGGTGCACCCAGAAAGAGTGGCCCAGGCGGTTATTCTCCATTAGTGTGAGAATGGTTGACTGACACCAAGGACAGGCTGTGGGAGGTAGGAGGGGCTGGCCAAGCCAAAGCGAGGAGGAGAGATGGGGCCAGCTTGGGCAAGTGGAGGCAGTGTGAGGGCAGTCTTCCCAGAGCGCCTGTAGGAGATGAGTCAGCCAAGGCAGGTCACACACAGTTGTGCCCAGGGGTTCACTGTCCTGGCCAAGAAAGTGTCCAGTCCAGGTCCGTGGGAGATGTACCAACAGGCTGAGGGCAGGGGAGGGATGCCAGCTCAAGCTCTCAGGAGCCATTTGCCAGGTGTCCCCCTCCACCCCCACTTGAGCTGCCACATAACGCTATCTCCCTGGCTCCCTAGATCTCTCTGGGTCCCTAGAGCCTGGCTTCCAGGTGGTGGGCAGTGTTGCAGGGACACCAGGAGGCAGGGGTGCGGGCAGTCACCTGTGAGCAAAGCATCAGCCCAGAATGGGGAGAGGAGGGTGGCTGCCACAGGAGGGTGTGGTCACCCAGCCTGGTGTCTCTGCCCTTCTCCTGGATCCTTCGAGAGGGCTTGGTGGGGCTGCCAGAGGTGAATCTCCAGCTGGGGCAGCCTGGGCAGCCACTGGTCCTGCAGGGCAACCGCTGGTCCTACAGCCCAGCCCAGGGCAGCTCCCTGCCAGGGAGCTTGGCAGTTCAGGACCCAAGTTAGGGGGGCGGAGAGGGGCCCCCGGGTTTGGGACTTGTGGGTGTCCAGGCTGCCTCTGAGCTTGGAGTGGGTGGAGGGCTCAGGGGGCCCACCAGCGCCAGCCTCTGCCTTCTGGGGCACGGACCTGGCTGGGGTGACCGCGGGGGGCCCTTTGTGGGTGTGGCACTCTGCCTGCCCCGGAGAACTTTAGGGGACAGCAGGCTCCGGGGTCTGCGTGGTGGGATGTGGGCCCGTCATGGGGCCCCCTACACCCAGAGAGGGTAGTGGGGAAGGTGGGGCACCTCTGGCCGGGCGGCCGCAGCCTACAGAGGGCTCCAGAGAGCACTCCCTGCGGGGCGCGACCCAGGTGGCTGCGCTCTGGCCGGGCTGCGCGGAGGAGGCGGCTTCCCGGGCCAGGGGCGGCGGCAGGGGCGGCCCCGGGATCACATGGGCGGAGGCAGGGCCCGGAGCCCCGGGCGGGCTCTCCCCAGAGTCGGGCAGACCTCAGCGGCAGCGGCGGCGGCGGCGGGATCGGCCGCGTCTCTTCGCCCGCCCTCCTTCCATTCCCTCCCGGGCCTAGCAGCCCAGCCCAACAGGTGAGCGCGAGCCAGGTGAGCGCGCCCACCTGCGCACCCTCCGCCGGCGCAGCCTCCAGAGCCAGCCGTTCTCCGCCCCGGCTCCCGCAGCGTCCGCGCCAGCGTCCTGCCCTGCGCTCCCTGGGCCCGCCGCCCTCTGCTCGCCAGCCGGCCCTGGCCCCCGCAGCCTCGCTCCCCTCTGCAGCCCCACTGCGGGCTGCTCCCCGGGCCCAGGGGATTTGGGCCTTGGAGCCGTCAGCCATTCCAGAACTGGGAGAGCCGGGCTGACGGGCTGGGCACGTCCCCGTGGCACCCGTCGCCGGAGTCCACTGGCCGGCTCAAAGGTCTGGGAACCTCAAGGCGTCTTCGAGCCGCGGGCGCTGACGGCGGGCTGGGGAGGGACCGACTGCCCCTGGCCACAGAGAGACCACACTGCCCTGCTTGCCTGGGTGCCCGCGCCCCACGAGCCTAAACACAGGATGTGGCTCTCTTGTCCCTGACAGATTCAGGCAAGCAGCAGTCCCTGGACCTCCCCAGGGGCAGCCCCAGGTGGGTGTTGGGCAGGGTGGTGGCCCAGCCGGGCACTACAGCTTCCTGCCTGGGTTGGCTCCAGGCTCCAGAAGTTGAGGCTCAGGAAATCCCAGCAGGGCCTGGTCCACTAGGATACTCCCTTGCTCAGGGCAGGGGACCACTCAGGGCAGGTCTGTGGCCCCAGATGGCAGGCGTGACATGGGCTAGCGTTCCCCCGTGGGGTGGACTGGGGGAGTCATTGAACCCAGGTCCTTTCCTGGCCCTAGCCAGCCCCAGGGGGTGGGTGTGCCCAGGGGCAGAGGAGCCCTCTCCTCTGGAAGCTGCTGGGAGGACAGAGGGTCCCAGGATTGCCAGGCCTGGCAGGCAGCCAGGAGGCCCCTCAGGAGACTACCATCAGCCAGCCCCCCCACGGGGCCAGCACCTTACAATACAGTCTGTGCTGACACCACCCATTCCTCGCTGCTGTCACTCCTGTTCCCAGAGCTGGACACTCCCCAGGCTGCCCGCCTGCCCTCCCCCAGAGCGCAGAGCAGAGCGGGGGAGGAAGTACCTTGTGCTGTGGGTTTTGGGGACAGGAAGCCAGTGAGCACTAGTGGGACACAACAACCCTGATGGGGGAGGAGTGTGGGGGTGGGAGGAAGTGCTGGCACCTCCCACAAGCCCCTGCCCACCCATCTCCACCAGCCCCTCTCTGGCACCCCAATGGCCGACCTGGGTGCCGCTCAGCAGAAGACCAAGGAGGAGGGAACTCCGGACTCATGGCTTCCCAGTGTGGGGGGAAGTGAAACTTGGGGGCTTGAGGGAGGGATTTAATCACTTCCGCTACTCGCTGCTACTTACCCCACCTACCCTGTCCCTGGCTGGCTGCTCTTTGGGCCTGTCACCCCTCTTCTTCCCCCTTTGCCTCCCTGCTGACCCTTCCAGCTGGTTTCTGGTGTCTCTCAGGGTGGGGTGGGGCAGCCCAGACAGTCCCCACCCCTGTTCCTCTGGCCCCCAGGTATGGCGCTGCTGACTGTGGATGTGGTGGGGCCGGCACCCTGGGGCTTCCGAATCACGGGGGGCAGGGACTTCCACACGCCCATCATGGTGACCAAGGTAAGGATCTGTCCTGTCCACTTTGCACTACAGGCCGCCTCTCTCTTTCATCCTAGAGCCAGTGGCCTGGGAGCACTGGTGGTGGGGGGTGTGCCAGGCCCTGTTGCCTTGGGGACAGGATAGCCACTTGAGGAGCAGACTTCAAGGACAGGACCTGCTCTCTTCTCTGGCTCACTCAGCCCCCACATCCCTGCCGGCCACTATGCTGGGTGGTTAGCAGGACAGGAACCGCTGGGTTCTCAGCAGTTCCTCTTGATCTGGGTCTGGGGCTCTGTGGGGAGTGTTCATGGCAGGGCCTGTGCACTGGCAGCCACCTGCAGTGTGCTCTGCATGGGCAAGGCCTCCACCTGAAATTCCACATCACCGTTCCTGAAAGCCTGTTTCCTTGCTTTCTTTGGGAGGCCCCCATTAGAGTGGCAAGGCCCCAGGGGTGGGGTGGGGCTGCCACTCCAGTTTGGGGAGGGGATTAGCCAGCCAAGGGCTGGCTGTGAGCAAGGCCTGGAGCCACAGCCCTGGGGGAGAGGCCACCTTGCTTCAGGCTGGGTGAGGGGTGTTCAGCAGGGAGGCTGGCTAGCCCAGTCCAAACAAGTTTCTGTGTTTTGGGGGCAAGAATGGTGGGGGGGTGGGAAACACCCCTCTCCCACCACCCCTTTCAGGATCCCAGTGTGGGTGCTGCAGACTCATCAGCTCCTCATCGCCCCCTTGCCCCTCTCCCTACCACCACTAAAGGTAACAGAGCGGGGCAAAGCAGAAGCTGCTGACCTCCGACCTGGTGACGTCATTGTGGCCATTAATGGGGAGAATGCAGAGGGCATGCTTCACGCTGAGGCACAGAGCAAGATCCGCCAGAGCCGGTCGCCCCTTCGGCTGCAGCTGGATCGGTAGGACCCCCTACCCCCTTTGTGCTGGATCTGACAGGAAGTGCCCTTACCCCCTGCCCTCACCTGCACCCTCACCCACACCCACACCCGCACCCTCACCCCCACCTTGAGGTCAGCATAAAGCCCCTCTCCTGCCCTGCCTGCACATCTGCAAGGTCCCAGACTCTCGTCCTTGCAGCCGATGAGAGGGGTGTAGGGTGGGCTGAGCCTGCCCCTCTGCCCAGTTGGGTGAAAGTGGGTGCCAGGCTAGGCGTGCAGCCACAGGCAGGGCAGGACAGGCTGGCACAGCCACCTGGCAGCCCGGGTCTGACTGGTTCCCAAGAGTGTGAAGGGTGCAGGCATGGGCAACAAGTGGGCTGCTAAGGGGTGACTTCTGGGGGGAGGTGTGCCTTCGGCCTAAGTTCCCAGGACCCCTGTCTCCAAGAGCTCTCAGGGGGAGCCGGGACTTCTGGCGGCATCATTCCCCACCACCACACTGGGCTGGGCTGATGGGCAGGCTCCTGGGCTTGTGGGGTATTGAGCTTGGAGGCCAAAGTTTCTGAGCTTGGAGGCCAAAGTTTCGGCGAGTGGGGTGTGTGTGTGTGTGTGTGTATGTGTAAGAACAGGTGGCTCTTGGGGTGGGGCATCTCACCTCGTCACAGGTTAGGAATGTGAGGAGATTCCCCCAACTAGGAGAGCCCTCTGGGCGGGCCTTGAGGCCTGCCTGAGTCAGATGCTGTTTCTCCAGCCCTGCCTCCTCTGCTGGTTGCCCTGGCCAGGCGTGCTGCAGGGACTGGGGGCAGGCCACTGACGCAGCCCGGTCTCATTAGTGACTCTTGGTGCATGTGTTCACAGGAGCAGGAGCCAGAGAGGATGGCAACAACCTCTTGGTATCTGGGAATGTGACAAAAACTTCCAGTCAGGGCGGGGAAGGGACGCAAATGACTGACACCAGCCTTTCCTCCCCGAGGCCCCTCTTGGACAGAGGTGGTGGTGGTGGTGAAGGAGGGGTGCCTAGCCGAGTACCCCCTGCTTCCAGCTCCACACCTGACCAGTCGAGTTTCCATGCCTCTTCTTTCTCCTGCCAAGACCCCCCAGCCCAGAGCACCCACCATCAACACCCCGGAGACCTCTCGGGCCTTGAGAAACCCTGAGGGCCAGAGCCAGAGCCAGGCTCCCCTCAGACTGACCCGACAGCCCTCCCTGGGGAGGCCCAGGCTCCTGCAGGCTCTTTTCCTCCCAAAGTGACCAGACCAGACGTCCAGGAGTGGGGGTAGGGGGTGGAGCTTGGCGGGCTCCCTCCCTGCCTGCTGCCAGCCCCTGGCCTGCTGATGACTTCTTATTCCTGGTTCTAGCCTGGCTCAGCTGGGAAGGGCATGGGAGGGGGGTCCCTGGGGAGCTAGTGGGTGGGCGGGGGGTGGGGGTGGGGGGAGGCTTTTGTCCCTCTTGGCTGTGACTGGTGAGGAGATGGAGGAATACTCTAAACTTGGCCCTTCGGCTGCCTGCCTGGGAGTTAAGTGGGGCAGCTGCCACCCTTTGTGGGGGCAAGCTTGGGACCCTCTCAAAGGCACTCCAGCCACATGACCCAGCTGGTGGGGGACAAGCCTCTGGTCAGGGGTGGGGACAGTGGACAACTGGCCCACCACTGAGTAGCTGTGGGACTTTGGGCAACTCCTTTGCCTTCTCTGGGCCTCCAGTCCATCTCCATGTAAAATACAAGGAGAGCGAGATGTGGTCAACAGTCTACCCCCAAAGACCCTGCCAACCGCTGCCCAGTGAGGAAGACTCACCAGTGCTGGGGTGGAGAAAGACAGCAGGGGGTCCCTTGAGAACGAGAACTAGGCAAGGATGCCCTCTATCACCACTCTTGTTCAACATTGCACTAGATGTGTTAGCTAGAACCTTTAACTAAGGGAAAGAAATCAAGGGAATACAATTGGACAAAGAAGTGAAGCATTCACTGTTTGCAGACAATAGATATTTGATGTTTTCACATTTTCTCCTCCTTTCTGTTAGTCTACCAGGCATCGTTTTGCCCTTATAAATGAGTGTTATTTGAAAATATTACCTTCACGGCATATTGTAACTTGTGTCCAGTCACCCATGTTTTGAAAATATACAAGTTAACAATTCAAATATTGGAGTCTAATAAGAAGTCCTACACATGTGTAAAATGGATTGCTCAACAGTGCTTTGTAATTAACTAAAATAAATCTTCAATCAATACAAAAAAAAAGACAGCAGGGGGGAAGACTGTAAGGGGTCTTTCATAACATGAAACGTGTTGAATTTAAAATGGTTTTTTTCGGATCTTACAGCCTTCCTGCTTTCTTACTTCCTGGTACTGAATGGTCCTTTCTCTTAGGAAATGATAGCGGTAGTCAATGATAGTCATTTGCTTTGAGCTTGGCAAAGCTAAACATTGACCACCGACTGTCCAGTTTGCACATCTTGCTGGACTCGAGGCCCAGGTCTGGAGCCAGTGGGACGTGAAGCGGCAGCCCCTGTCAGGCAGCTTCTCACGACATGCCCCTGCCCGGGTTCCCTCCTCAGGTCCCGGGCGGTCTCTCCCGGGCAGAACAGTGAGAGCTCTTTGGAACTGCTGGCTACTCGCTTCCAGGTAAGATGCCTGGCCTTGCCGGACCAGCTGACAGCCCCCCCC